AATCAGGAATGCAATCCCATTCACAACAGCCACAAAAAGAATAAAATACCTAGGAATACAGCTTACCAAGGAGGTAAACGATCTTTACAATGAGAGTTACAAAATACTACTGAAAGAAACCAGAGACAGCACAAACAAATGGAAAACATACCATGCTCATGGATAAGAAGAATTGATATCATTAAAATGGCTACACTGCTCAAAGTAATTTACAGATTCAATGCTATTTATATCAGACTATGAATGTCATTTTTTACAGAATTAGAGAAGACTATTTTAAAATTCACATGGAACTGAAAAGGAGCCTAACTAGCCATAGCAATTCTAAGCAAAAAGAACAAAGCCAGAGGCATTACATTACCCAACTTCAAACTACATTATTAGGCTCCAGTTACCAAAACAGCGTGGTACTGGTACAAAACCAGACACATAGACCAGTGGAACAGGTTACAGAACAACTATATGATATTCAACAAAGTCAACAACAATAAGCAATGGGGAAAAGACTCCCTATTCAATAATTGATGCTGGGATAACTGACTAGCCATATGCAGAAGATTGAACCTGAACCCCTTCCTTGCACCATATAAAAATCAACTCAAAATGGATTAAAGACTTAAATGTAAAACCTAAAACTAAAAAACCCTAGGAGAAAACTTAGGAAATACCATTTGAGACATAGGCCTTGGCAAAGATTTTATGACAAAGTCTCCACAAACAATTGCAACAGAAACAAAAATAGACAAGTGAGACCCCAGAGTTTCTGCACAGCAAAAGAAACTATCAAGAGAGTAAACAGACAGTCTATAGAATGGGAAAAGACATTTGCAAACTATGCATCTGACAAAGGTCTAATATCCTGAATCTATAAGAAACTTAAACAAATTAACAAGGAAAAAACAAGCAACCCCATTAAAAAAATGAGCAAAGGACATGAAGAGACACTTTTCAAAAGAAGACATACAAGCATATGAAAAAAATGTTCAACGTCACTGCTCATCAGAGAAATGCAAATCAAAACCACAATTTGATACCATCTCACAACACTCAGAATGGCTATTATTAAAATGTCAAAAAATGACAGATATTAGCAAGGTTGTGGAGAAAAGAGAACATTTATACATTGCTGGTGGGAATGTAAACTAGTTCAGCCACTGCGGAAAACAGTATATTAGGCTGTTCTCTAATTGCTATAAAGAAATAACCTGAGACTGGGCAATATTTAAAGAAAAGAAAAGAGGTTTAATTGGCTCACGTCTCTGCAGGCTTTACAGAAAGCATAGGGCTGGCATCTGCTTGGCTTCTAGGGAGGCCTCAGGAAGTTTGCAATCATGATGGAAGGCAAAGGGGGAGTAGGCATGTCACATGGCAAAAGCAGAAGCAAGTGAGATAGAGTGGAGGGGGGGCGTGCCACACACTTTTGAACCACCAGATCTTGTGTGAACTCAGAGCAGGAGCTCACTTATCACCAATGGGATGGCCCAAGCCATTCATGAGAGATCCATCCCCATGATTCAAACACCTCCCACCAGCCCCCACCTCCAGCATTGGAAATGACAATTCAGCATGAGATTTGGGTAAGGACATATGTACAAACTATATCAAGAAGTTTGGAGATTTCTCAAAGAATCTAAAAGATAGTTACCATTTGACCCAGCAATCCCATTATTGGGTACATATCTAAAGGAATATAAATCATTCTTCTAAGAAGACACATGCGCCCATATGTTCATTGCAGCACTATTTACAATAGCAATGATATGGAATCAACCTATGTGCCCGTCAACAGTGGACTGGATAAAAGAAAATGTTTATATATATACACACATACATACATACATATAATGGAATACTATGCAGCCCTAAAAATTGAAATCATGCCGTTTGCAACAACATGGATGTAACTGAGGCCATTATTCTAAGTAAATTAATAAGGAACAGAAAACCAAATACTTCATATTCTCACTTCTACGTGGGAGTTAAACATTGAGTAACATGGAACCAAAGATCGGAATAATAGACATTGGTTCTTACTTGAAGGATGAGTATGTGGGAAGAGGGTGAAGGTACTATGCTCACTTCCTGGGTGACTAAATCATTTGTACACAAAACCCCAGCAATACGCAATTTACTCAGGTAATAAACCTGCACATGCACCCCTGAACCTACAATGAAACTTGAAAAAAGATTTTAAAAATAAAAGGATAAAAAGAACTAAGCTCAGGCAGTAGCACCTCCAGGAAGGCTCCCTGGATTCTATGCCCCTCTCCTCTGACACCATACTTAGGATCCTCTTATTGAGCTTACTATATTTAGTTGTTCCACACTCAGTATTGAATGAATGAATATGGAATAGAAACATTACCTTTCTCCCATATTATATGATAAACTACAAGAAAACTGGAAATTTGTTTTATTCATATCCATGTACCTAGCTGCCAGCACCATGCCTAACATGTAGTAGATGCTCAGTAGCCAAGTAGTGAATGAATGATCATTTGTCCCTGAGGAGGTGAAGTTTTGATTTAAAGCATCTCTGGATCTGCTGCGAGTCCCTGGATGTTCATCTCTTTTACTTCAGAATTTGCTTATGCTCTTATTTGGAGGTGCATTGAGTTATTCATTCTACCTGGATCAAGAAAACAAGACAATGGCAGTAAAGTCACCGCTAAATTCTCATATTGCTTTGCCAACTTGTGCATTTCTCACATGCTATTCCAAACACTGTTTCCTTTCTATTCAAAGCACCCACAATCCTCTGGTAGGGAGCTTCAGGTTGGTTTTCCTAGTGTGCTGTGATAAAATAGTTTTGGCACTTAACTTCTACTCATATCCTTCCTTACCATTACCTCTGCAGACAAGCAGAAACCTGCATATTCACTCTCCACAGATAAATGGGGTCATTTCAACTTCCCTGGTGCCTCACAGGTAAGTTTGAAAAGAGCAGAAGATGCATAGTTGAAGAGGACCTAGGGACTCTCTTAAATGATAAATGAGGATTTAGAAAACTGCCCACCTTAGCTGTAAACTATACTTGCTGGACAAGTTGAGGATTAAACTGTCATGTTTCATCCTGTAGAGCTGAGATTTCTCTGCAGTCAGAGCTGCCATTTTGACCTTTCTTTTCACATTTTGTTGAGTTATTCACTCCCCGGCTCAGCTTTTTTGATTTGAAATATTCAGATCTACCTTTTTCACGGGAGGGATCTCTTGTTTTCTCCCTAGTATTTTCTCATGCCACTGAACTGCATCATATATTAATAAGCTTTTTACTGTGCTAAATTGCTTTGTTTCTGTAGCTGATTTGAAGGCAAAAAGGCCCTAGAGGGTGAAGGAAAAAAAAAAAAGAAACATTTTAAAGTAATTAGAATGATTATAGCAGCTGAAAACATTGCTTTCCTAAAACTGCAATATTTTCTCAGGAGATTTTTTTTCCTTTACAATAGCCCATGAAGCACTAGGATTAGTGTTTCCAAAGCAAATGGTGACTGGTAGTTTTTCATTATAGAGCTGAATGAGAGTCATACATTGGAAATTTTAAAATGCATTATCGTGACCAGCCATAGGCTTATCTTGCTCATCCTTTATTTGGTTTCAGTTATGTCCTTTGCCTTCATGACCATCTGAGTCTGACTGAGGCTTAGCAGTCATTTCTGATGGGTTTGAAACACTTAGTTAAAAACCATTATTATAAAAAATATGTAAAAATATATTCATTAAAAATGGTGAGTTGTAGACACCTTTTTGATCAGAAAAACCAAAACAGTAAATGTGGCAGCTATGAATTGACACTTACAAATAGATGATTTCCCCCCGTGAAATATTAGTCTTTGTGCAACAGAATAAATAGCACTTTCTTCCCAGGGAAAAGCTGAATTTAATTTTCAAGATGAGTGGGAGTCATTGAAAGGGGAGAGGATTTAAGATGGTGAGTTGATACATTTTATGCTCTCCTCTCATGAAGATCAGGTAGCAAGTGATGGAGCATTTCTACGTGTATCCAAACCTTTGCAAAATGGGTTGCGATCATTTCCTTGTAATGGATAGGCAAAGTCCAGGCACTCCTTTGGCACCCTTGTAGCTTTGAAAAGCTGGTAAGGGGATAGAACTGGAGGCTGAGGAAGAAGTGAGGAAGGAGCTTGGTCATTCTATGTTTTAAATCCTTTCTCTGTTGTCTTCATCAGACATCTGACCAAAACGGCAACACTATTGGTATTGCTGTGGAAATATACTAATACCCCACAATGAAGTTTTCAAAATAAATATATTTTTCTAAGTAACTTTAACGTAAAATTTTATTTGGGATATACATCTTCCAAAGTACATTACCTATTTTGCTACCATTTTAAAACAAAATATAGTAAACATAATTTAACCTCTTTCTGATGACTCAGGATAAATTTTACAAATATTCTATAATTCTGTATTCATCATTCCTGTTTGCAGTATTATTTCTTTAATGTAGAGACCAAATGCTACAAAACAAATGAACTTTTGTGATAATATTGGACAATTTTTAGGGTCTGTTTCTGGCATCTAGCTTTTGTTTCCTAATGATGGTCACTTGGCTATTCTTTAAAGTTTTAGGATGGATAAGTAGGTAATTGAGAGTATAAAATAACAGGTAAGGAAGAGTCAGTATAATCTGTGGGATGATCCCTTTCAGGTAATGAAGTGCATACGTTTTGTGATATTTATTTTGCGTGTTTAGAAGCTCGTTCCCTTTTGGACTCACTGTTGGAAGTCTGACATTCAGATAAGTGGGACATTATGGCCTGTGTTTTGGCTAAAGGGGATGATGTCTGCAGCTGGAATAAACAATCAGCAAAGTCATAAATCATAATTTCCTTCACAGTTCATTGTAAGATAATAATATATGAGCAAAAACTATTTTCTTCTATTATAGCTGTCACTAAAGGAAAATTTCCATTCAGGCTATAACCTCTCAATAAAATACAAGGCACAAAAATTCAGAAAAAATTATTTTTGTTTACTTGTAGATGCTGGTGACTTCAGTGAAGATAGCATTGCTGCATAATGTCCACAAATCATAGATAATAAAAATATAACCAAGAACATGACATATGTATTTATTACTTGTATTTTTATATTTAATTTTAAATAGTCTTCAGTAACATGCCTGGGACAAAGCCATGGGGATTTATTTTTCATGTCCTTCACATCCACTTCTACTTCTTCTGAGTGACTTCTTCATTGACAGTGGGTGGAATGGACCAAATATGGACCATATTTCTTTTTCATATTAAATATTTTTCCCCAGACATCTGCTTCATTGCCACTCCATTACTATAGGACAATTTTCTTTGCTTCCCATTCTCACAATAGAAAATATGGCCACTATAAGCTTCCAAGTTCATGTATTACTTGTCCAGCCATCCAGAAAGATTGAATCAACTCTTGGTTCCAATCCCACATTTGCAAAAATATATATGTCTGCCTCTGGACTAATAAACTGCTTTGTAAGTAGGGCTCATGCTGCACAGATATGTTGGGCCCGCTCAAATCATTTAAGAGTATGTGTGTGTTGTGGGGAGGAGAGGTGATCCCTTAAAAAAAGAAGTGGTTCCCCCCAAATTGGTATCTACCGCTTCCTTTTTGGCCTAGTAGGGCCTAATATTAACATCTATTTTTAAAAGGCATCAAGATTGTCTTTAAAAAGTTTCACATGCCATCTACTCTTCATTAAAAATATTCATGATAGAGAGTGAGGCTGAGCTACCTAGTAACCACTGTTTAGGATTTAAAATATTGTTCTTATGTTTTTCATGTAAGCTTGTTGTCACTCAGAGAGTATTTCCAGAACTGTGTAAAGACAGGATATGATAAAACAGATAACGTGTACTAGATTGGTGGAAAAACTCAGTTAAGAGCATGGCAAATAATCTTTAATCTCTTCTTTTCTACAGAGCTCAATAACTATCGACTTTCCCTCTCAGTTGATTGGAAAGGGCCCTCTCTGTGGTGAACTGAGTATAGCCAGGGTGTGTACCTCATGCCTTCTGAATGGCAGCTCCATCACTAAAGCATCCCAGTTGCACAGTAACCAATTCCAGGGGACCTCAAATACTTTATAAAGTTTGTAGCAAGAAGAGTTTCTTGAGATTTCTAGGCATTGTCAAAATACTAACGATTAGTCATTTAAGACTGGTATATTTTTTAGGTAGCTATTGACCACTCTGTGGGTAGTATTGTGGATAGTACTGTGGTACTATGGTCACATTCGTTCTCTCTTTCTCTCATTTGTACAGTTCCTGCTTTAGACTCTGTACATGGTCATGACTGTGCAATCCATTGTAAATACTCAATACATATTTACTAAGTGAAAAAATATGTGTGTCTGCAATGACAGGGAACATACTTCCATCTTTTTATATTCCCTGAATTTCTTAGCTTCATGCACTGCTTATAAGAGATGCTTAGTTAATGTGTGTAGATGAAGAAAAAAAAGAATGAAATTCGACACATTCCAAAGTGCTTAGATGGTTTATTTGGTAAAACAAAAACAAAAACAAACAAAACAAAACAAAAATAGCCATTCCTCAAAGACTCAGAACTAACCATAACAACTTAGGCTCCATCAGTCTGAATGAGTTAATGCACATGAGAGTACTAGGTAAGCTTTAAAGTGGTATTATTGTTGTTGCAAAAGACAACTCCAGGCTCACCCAACTAAAATAGCTTACAACTGTAGAGCCCTTTACCAATTACAAAGTACTTTTTTTTGAGACACAATCCCCCTCTGTTGGGGTACAGTGCAGTGGCTGGTTCATGGCTCACTGCAGCCTCAGTCTCCCAGGCTCAAGAGATCCTCCCACTGTAGCTTCCCAAGTAGCTGGGACTACAGGCATGCGCCACCTCACCAGGCTAATTTAATTTTTTTTTTTTTTTTTTTTTTTTTTTGAGAGACAGAGTCTCACTTTCTTGCCCAGGCTGCTCTTGAACTCCTGAGCTCAAATGATCTTCTGCCTCAGACTCCCAAAGTGTTGGGATTACAGGCATGAGCCACTGTGCCCGACCCAAAGCACTTTCATGTATAGTGTCCTTATCATTTTCTCACAACCTCATGATGGTGGCATTTTTGTTATCTCCATTTTATAGATGAAGGAGCTCCTTTATTGAGAAAAAATAAGTCATTCTAGGTCATATATTTAATAGTGAAGTCAAAGTTCAAGCTCTGGTTTTCTGAACCTAAGCCTGAGTTCCTTCCTGCACACTAGAACTAATATCCAAGGGTAATAATTTTCCATTGTCAGGAGTAATGATGCTTCTCAACTTACTCAAAGCATAAAGAAAGAATCAGGCACTCTTTTGCTTTCCTGGAAAAGAAATCAACCAACCTTTAAGTGTTGGAGTTGTGCATAAGCCCCAGGCTAGGCATGGAGGTCTCTGTTGAGACCTGAGGGATTAAAGAACTCAGGAGTGTGAGAATTTCTGTCACTTACATGAATGACTTTGTAGGTGTAGCTTTCAAAATGAGTTTCTTTGCCACTTAGAAAATGACCCAGCAGGAGCTTTGCTGCCAGGTGGACACAGCTGTACCGTCCAGCCTATAAGGGGAGCTTAGCAACAACCCTATCACTGAAGAGTTTTTTAAAGCCACTTCCCCCTTTTTAACTAATCACAAGGTCTGGTGTCAGAGCTATTTAGTAATTTGCCTAAGGACACAACTCTAGTAAGAAGCAGAGCTAGCGTTTCTACTGGTTTCATTAATTTTTTCACTTTTTAAGGGACAAATATTATATAGAACCAATTATTTATTATTAATCAGAAAAAAATAAACCAGAGTTCAATTTTAGAGCAAGTTTTTAAATAAATGAACTTTATATTGCTTTTCTTTTATTACCAATCTTTACGTTTTCCTTTATTAATTAACTCTTAGTATTGTCTTGGATGTAACATTGTTCATGAACTTTTATCTTCAATTTAAGCTTATTTGAGAGTTGGATACCATGGGATATGAATCAATCAATACAGAAGCAAAGCTACATTTTAACCCTAGAAATGTAATTTATGCAGTCTTGGCTGCCTATGCAAACCATAAGAAGGTCTCAGCTCACATTTTCAGCCTTTATGATTTGGGGTAGAAAGAAGTTGTTTTTAGGCAATATGATTAAGCCCTGTTACTCTTTGTCTCAGCCATGCTGACAGGTAGCAACATGGGGAAAAATATGTATTCTATATCCATTCAATGAATCAAACACCTACAATATTGAGACACACTACTCGAGACACAGAGAATACATCAGTGAACAAACAAAGACTGTTCTCATGGAACTCATTTTGATAGATAAAATAGTTAAAATATATGTATATATATATGACTTAATATGTGTGTGTATATGAATATCTGAGAGGTAGTAAATGCCATAGATAAAAATAAAAGTAATTAAGGGTGATGGGGAAGAAAGGATTATGTGGGTGTTTTATAAAGGATGGTCATAGAGGACCTCTTTGAGAGCCACAGAAATTTGGCTTCATCTGAGGGTAGCATCCTTCTCTCCTTCCCATCAGACAAGCTCCCTGTATGGTTGCCTACTGCAAGAGATGAAGTGGGTCCCAGGGTAGATGGACATCTCTGCTATGTGAGCAAGTCATTAGAAATAAATTGTTGCTGAAGGTAGAAATCATCATGTAGGGCAGGGGTCCCCAGCCCCCAGGTCACAGACCAGTAGCAGTTTGTGGCCTATGAGGAACTGGGCCACACAGCAGGAGGTGAGTGGCAGATGAGCAAGTGAAGTTTCATCTGTATTTATAACTGCTCCCCATCACTTGCATCTCCACCTCTTTTCAGATCAGCAGCAACATTAGGTTCTCATGGAAGCTGGAACCCTATTGTGAACTGAGCATGCAAGGGATCTGGGTTCCATGCTCCTTTATGAGAACTTAAGGCCTGATGATCTGTCACTGTCTCCTATCAACCTCAGATGGGACTGTCTAGTTGCAGAAAAGCAAGTTTAGGGCTCCAATTGATTCTAAATTTTGGTGAGTTGTATAATTATTTCTTTATATAATGCAATGTAGTAATAATAGAAATAAAGTGTGCAATAAATGCAAATCATGCTAAAACCATACCCACCTGGCCCATCTGTGGAAAATTGCCTTCCATGAAACCAGTCCCTCATGCCAAAAGAGTTGAGGGACAGCTGATGTAAGGAACGGCAAGAAGAATCATAAGAAGTATGGATAGAATGTGATGCACAAGCATGCTGATAAACATTCTCTTGATTGTGTCAAGCTGCCCTTTCTGTTGAGCACAAATGTTTTAGGTTCAGAACTGATTTGACCCTTTCCCTGTTTGGGAAAAAGAAAAGTTAGTTTCTCTTTCTTCTGAAGGTCTTTGTTATCACGGGAGCAATGACCTAATTAAAATTGGATTCCAGCATGTAGACTCTCTCTGAATGTTTGCTATCTCTATGGCAGCTCTTGAGGATATTCATTACTCAATCTCATATTTCAAAAACTTCTTTTATCAAAACTAATGAGTCTTTATCATTCATCTCTGAAGCAAGTGGCTACACACATTTAATATTTTATGCAGCTCTTTTATGTGGATGTGAACGGAATTAGAGCCAATAGAACCATTTAGTACCCTTTTCTATATGTGATAATTTATCATGGCTGTCTGCCCAGCCAGGTAGATTTCCTTGTTTCTAGTTCACTCCTACATAACACTGATTTTAAATCCGTTTGAAAACAAGGAGAAGTGTGCACAGGGGGCACCTTGTGGCAGGAACTGGAAATAGTGATGTGTTTGAAGGAAAGAGAGGAAGGCTGGAATTGGATCTCAGAAGAGAGGGAAAGATGAGAGTCTAGCTCACAACTGTGGGAAGGTTGTGGGGTTGGGGAGCTGGGGAGTCAGGCTGTTTTTACAGTTGCTGAAATTCAGTCATTAAACTGAGCTGTTCAGGAGAAGAACTCAACCCAGCTATAAGAAGTGTTTAAAACAATTTTTTATTATTATTATACTTTAAGTTCTGGGATACATGTGCAGAACATGCAGGTTTGTTACATAGGTATACATGTGCCATGGTGGTTTGCTGCACCCATCAACCCATCATTTACAGTAGGTATTTGTCCTAATGCTATCCCTCCCCTTGCCCCCCACCCCTGACAGGCCCCGGTATGTGATGTTCCCCTTCCTGTGCCCATGTGTTCTCATTGTTCAACTCCCACTTATGAGTGAGAACATGGGGTGTTTTGTTTTCTATTTCTGTGTTAGTTTGCTGAGAATGATGGTTTCCAGCTTCATCCATGTTCCTGCAAAGGACACAAACTCATTCTCTTTTTTATGGCTGCCGAGAAGTGCTTTATTCAAAGCAAGATTGAGTTGATTAGTCACATCTAGGGCATGATTGTGCTATTTGTCTTCTGTGTTCTTAACTCCTTTTGTTCGATGATGGTTGGTGACTTTATGAGAACCTACTGCCCCCCCACCCAATTGCTACTCATTTTCCCCCTCCATCCTTTCCCATGGCACTCAGAGCTACCTTGTGCCCCACTATAATCAGGTGCTTCCTGACTCCATTCCTAGCTAACTTGGCATATTGCATCATGAACAGTGTTCCACATACAGTATTTCTTGAAATATATTTATTCAAAATATATTTCTTGAATAAATGTGTTCATAGCTTAATATGTAACCCCTACCAAGCACCACAGGTATTGCAAAAAGGCTTCTGAAAAATGTGCTTTGGCATGAACTAATGGTACAGATTTCGAGGTCCTTAGAGATATGTGGAAGCGATATATTTATAAATCTGAACCTTGATGAAGTTCTTCTTTTGCCCGATCAATTCCTTTGGGCAGAGATTCTGAAATGAATAGTGAGACTGAAGGTCATCCTCTGCATATCTATTCAGAATCTGGCCCAGGTGTTATATTAATAATTTTCCTTTCATTAACACTGTCCCCACATGAATACTTCCAGGGCTGACCTTCCTGAATCAAGAGACAGGATGGTTTGTGGAATGAGAAACAGATGTACAGTCAGGAGTCTCTAATTCACCTTCCAGCTTTTCCCCTTACCAGCACTGCAATATTGGTCAAGTCTCTTCACTTCTCTCGGCTTCCATTTTCTCCTTATAAAATGGTAACTCTATACCCTGACCTACCTACAGTGAATTTGAAGGACCATTTGCCATAATGGATGAGGATATTCTTTATAAACTGTGAAGTGTAAACAAAGGCATAAAGACATGTTTAATGCTAACATCTGGATTTTATGTTTAAATACCAGATCAGCTGCTTTCTGCTACACAAATGTTAACTGATCTGATGATCTTTATTAGACATTAATGGTAGAATTGTGTTGAATTTACTTATCTGTGTGATTGTTGAGTGCCTACCCAATGAAAAGTTGTGTGCTAAGTGCAATGTGTAAATGTATAGATGGTGGGAAAAAAAAAACACATTATTTCTTCTCTTGGTGAATTTACAGAGGGAGAAAGGTATTAGGTAAGCCTAATGACTATGTAATTATAAATGTATAATTAAATGTATGTTATAATAGTTATATTATATTAAATGTATGTTATAATAGTTACCATGAAGGAAACAAAAGGTGTGGGAGAGAGATACAGAGTTAGTGAAAACAGAATGTTGCGAAATGAGCAGTGGTAAGCCAGCAAGCCAGGTCGGGAATCGGAAGCAATGCAGGGGGAACAGCACATGGAAAAAGCCCCAAGAATTCAGGAAACATAAAGGGGGCTAATGTGGCTATGAGCAAGGTGAGTAGTGCAAGTGCTTTGAGCAGCTCAAATAGTGGGTAGAAGGATCTGAGGGCACACGGGTAG